CAAGTTTTGAAGCAAGAGTGGGCGAAAATTCCACAATCTAAAATTGACGAGATGATTCTCATGATGCCCCAAAGGATCAACGAACTCCACGAAGCGAAATGAAGATCTACTAGATATTAATTAAATTATAAATATATCAATTCATGTGAACATGACTGAAATTTTTCATTTTTTCTGAAAAGGTGGTGTCTATTTACTTGTGACCACGCTGTGTACTTTGTCCATTGTGATGGCATAAGTCAATTTGTCACATGCTTGTTACCAGTCTTACATTGTTCGATAGTTGGTTCTCTGTTCGATTATGTATTATGGGAGGAGTTTGTGAGCATGATTCCGATGTTACTTTTACATTCCTAAATCCATGTAAGTTATCTGTTTACAGACCCAAGGGAGGTTCCTATTTAGCTGCAGTGAAACATTGTGTCTTGGGTTACTTCCCGTAAGATGGTGTTTAACTTAAAGAACGCTAGGCGGTCGTGGAGTAGCCTGTTCTTTTCCTACAGAAACGAAGTTTTCCCTTGCTTTACCAATACAATTGAATACTGCAAATATACCTTTTTTTTCGAAGCGTCTAAAGTTCGTGCCTTGAATGTTCTTAAAATCGTGAAATAGGAGAACTTGGCGTCGCAAAGTTCTAGACTGTAAACTTGCTAGAAAGGGTCAATTTTAGGTGCCACCCGCACTTTCAAATCACCACATTCCAACTTAGCTGTACCACATGAATAAAAACACTGATCCTATAATTTACAGCAAAACATAATCGAAAATAACACTGGCTAGTAGGTACTAATAATAATCTAAAATAAAGTACGGGTCAACATTGATCGATTTAGAGGTATTTTACACAACAAGGAGCATATCTTTATTTGTCATTTAGAACCACAGAGAAGTAGTCGAATAAGGACAATTAAATATTGATATTTTGCTCCTGTATTCTAATATCACATGATGTATATATTAAAAACAAATTAGTTAAATACACGCGACTCAAAAATACAATGAATTGTTTGTTTTTAAAGCACAAAGCTTTACAATGGACTATATGCGCTTTGTCCACCGCAGAGATAGAATCCTGAATTTTATCGTTATAAGCCCTTAAGCTTTTTGCTGAGCCAGCTTGGGCAAAAGTGCAATAAAATCTACTTGTTTTACTCAAGAAATATTTGTTATGACAAATTATAAAGGCTTTTGTTTGTTTGAAGTTAAGCACAAAGCACCGAAGTCCGGTTTCTAGCGTTTTAGGTCCACGGATATGCCGCTGTGCCACCGGGGGGGGGGGGGTATGATAAAAGCTACTTTCACACAAAAGGCTAAAGTAGCAACAATTACAGCTTATCAGTACGTTAGCGTGTGACGTTGAAATTATCTTAAGTGACTGATGACCTATTATTTTCAACTATGAATTTCTGGCAGCATATATATATTTATTATGATTATATTAAATTTAACACTCTTGCTAACGTCGCAATAAAATCATATTACTTTGTTTGTTTGTAATTTCGCGCAAAGCTACACGAGGGCTATCTGCGCTAGCCGTCCCTAATTTAGCAGTGTAAGACTAGAGGGAAGACAGCTAGTCATCTCCACCCACCGCCAACTTTTGTGCTACTCTTTAACCAACGAATAGTGGGATTGACCGTCACATTATAATGCCCCCACGACTGAAAGGGTGAGCATGTTTGGTAGGACGGGGATTCGAACCCGCGACCCGCAGATTGCGAGTCGAGCTCCCTAACCACCTGGCCATGCATATTACTTTGTCCAAGGAAGATGTCACTTAAACAAACTAGAATATTTTCTTCCTTATTGATACTAAACTTTTGATTATTGGTACAACCTATTTTAACATTGTCCTATTGTTAAGATTAATAATAATTATACTCACAAAGAAACTGACCAGACAGTTTATTATAGACGAAAAAATTGTTTTCGTAATTAGATTATTTTATCTCAACAACAAGCTAAAAAATGTACCATACTTTCTAAAAACAAGTTCTTTTTAAATAATTATGGGGGATTTTTCTACTGTAGCAGAATTAAGTAATTGTGGCATTGTAAAATGACATTTTTAAAACCGGGTAAAAACTTAAAAGATAAAGTTTGACTTTTTGTCGATTCTAAGTCTTCCTGTAATTCAAGAAGTATTATTTATTGTCGTGATTTATAAAGAGTTATACAGTAGTGAAGCAAATAATATTCGTATTTGAATTAACTTGCATGAAATTCATGTTAAACATCTTGCTCTAAAAGATACAATAAAGTTAACTGTGCTTTTAAAAAAATTATAAATAATAGTATTCTTCTGCCCTCTGATGTTGGATAGTGAAATTAATAATTCCAGTAAAATTGTCAAAAAAATAAATAAAATATAGTGAATAGAATGTTTAATAGGAATAGTGTTTTTCTTTTTTTTAAAATTCTCACTAGGATTCGAAAATACATTTTTAGAATATCTTGCACAAAAATACGAAATGATATGATATGATAAACAGTTATAATGATTTGAAAGATAAAAATATTTTCGGAAGGTTATTTCATTCTACGTCAAATTTAATTTTTCTGGCTTTGATGGTATATCATAAAAATGTATGGAGTAATTAATTTTTTCAACAACGTGATACATTTCATAATCATGACAAGCGTTGAATTAAAAACAAAAAATACAGTTGAACTTAAACAGTATGACTATTAATAACGTCAGTAGAACGACATGAAGCTGTTAAATAACCTTGCTTTTCTTCTTTCATTGTTCTAGAGGGAGTAATAAACTTATACATACCCGTAAATACCAATTGGGTTCCTTTGCAGCTTGAGTTAGATGCGCTTCCATAGCTGTCCAATCGATTTTCGGCATTGTTGTCTCAATGTTGTAGACGTCAAAGTTTACAGAAACTTCCGACGAGGATTTATATTTATCTTTTTGTGGACATACATATTTACTTTTATCCTTCTCTGTCAATGAACTAGGCCGTGTTGTTCGAACAGATACACAAGAAATGGGCAATGTCACATTCTTCGCCACGTTTCTGTATACAGCGCTGTTCATTATGCTGTTGTTGTTTAGGGTATTAGAAAACAAAAATGTTTCTTCGTCAGAATTTGTAATTGAAGATGCTTCTTTTTCTTTCGATTCATGGTGGCGTGACGATATAACAACAAGGTCACCTGAAGGTTGTTTTTGAAGAGATTTTATGGCAGTGTCATCTCTGCTCCCTAATCCTACATCTGTGTCGGATGTTGGAAGTTCAACATGTTCATATGGAGTCACCGATGTTTCATTTGTCTTTTTGATCTCTGATACCAGATTGTCAGGATCAATATCGAGTGGTTCTGGCATTTCTTCACAATTCTTTTTACAAGACCTAAGATATGTTATTTTGTCTTTTTTATCATCATTGATAAAAAACATATGTTCCATAAACAACGGTTCAACCACAGGTTTCACAGCTGAAGCTATAGAACCTCCATATTTCGCGTTTACTCGATTACTGGATTTTTCGCCTAGAGGAAAATCATTTATAGTTTCTTTTGTTCTGTTTTCTTTTTCATCAGAGTCAAATTCACACTTTTCTACTTCTTTTGAAATTATAACTTCGAATGTATGCTTGTTCTGGAGCTTGTCGGTTATACATTTCGGAATGGTTGATTCTGTATTTAAAATTTTTGGCTCTTCTAAGCATATTGCTGTTGACTCATTTTGTCGGATATTAACACTTGCATTTTCTTTCTCTTCATTCACTAAACACTGAATATCACAGTGTTTACTACTAGCCATGGAGAAATTATTTAACGTCTCCGTCGCCATGTTGATATCAAAGTCAGAACAAGAACTTGTTTCACTCATAGGAGTGAAATCCGTAAATTCGGAACTTCCGGACTCAGGAGTGTCACTGCAGTGCAAATGTTGATTTTCTGTAGCATGTTGTTTAATTGAAGACTTACTGAATTTTTGTTTCTTGATCAGAACTGAGCCAACTTCCCATTCTTGAGCCACACTATCAGGTGAATCGCTCTGCAGCTGCTTTCGGAAAGTTAGTTCATTCAACCTTATCGATTCCTTCCGTGAGTTTATTTCAGTTTCGGAGACATGGTCATGATTATCACGACTACCTACTGAATGATCCAATGAATAGTCCTGTAAGGAATCCTCCGATATATCAGAATATAAGGAGTCTCTACTTTCTAAGTCCTCCCGAGGACTAAAACTAAAGCTGCTGGCACTTTTACCATTATTGTTACAGTCATTTCTTACACCGAGTCCCTTGTTATCGCCATCAGTATTTTCTTCTAAAGTCAAAGTTTTAAGAAGTGGACTAGTACAAGTTGAATCCGATTCTGAAATGACGTCATCTTCGGCATTTACATTTCTGCAAATAACTTTGGGAGAAGACAAAGACATCGCTTGTTCGCTTTCATCTTCTAAAAACGATGTGAGGCTACGGTTGTAGCTTACTCTATGATTGTTATTGAAATTTACCAGGAGTTGCTGTTTCTCGATAGCTTGAAGACTATTCCAGCCTTGTTGAATTCTGAAAAAATATAACAATACCATTTTTTAATGAAGCAACAATATAATATGCAGCAAGAGATGAAGGAATGATTCTAGAACAAAGAACCTTTCTTTGAGATGAACGCCAAAACAGACAGACTCTGTACTTTTTACGGGGAAGATCGCTGTCGACGAGTCGTCTCGCTTATATAATAACTCATCAGGCAATTGAGTTTCGATAAAGTGCTAATTTTTTGAAAATCATGCCAAAAAGATGCAATGAAACTTTATGTAACGTTCTGAGACGAGTATAGTGAACCCCTGATGATACTGTATACAGCAAAACGTTACATTTGTTTCGAACAATGAACCCCTGATGAGACAGTATACAGCGAAACATTGCACTTGTTTCGAACAATGAACCCCTGATGAGAATGTATACATCGAAACGCTACATTTGTTAAGAACAACGAACCCTTGACGAGACTGTATACAGCGAAACGTTGCATTTGTTTCGAACAATGAACCCCTGATGACATTTTAAAGAAATACGACTCGAGAAACATTCCGTGTACAGAATTTTGAAGGGTTTGTAAGCTTAGACGTATACCATTTTTTTCATGTTGTTTAGTTTGTTAGGTACCATTTTTCCCTTCTTTAATTTTTTCTTCCTGTTTTTCAGACTTACCTAAAGTTTTCCGGAGCTATTCCAGTGTTTCTTCTGGAGCGATGTATTCCTTTTGCACCCGGCTGTTGGGTATATTGTGAACTTTTGTGAAAAGAAGACAAAACAAAAATATTAGTGTCTTCAAGTAAAACTTTCTATCATAATATATCAGTATCACTAAGGATAACGCAACGGGCGTTTCGTATAAATAAGTACCTTCTATAAAATAGTGTAACTTGCTTTTATACTTATACAGGAACCACACTCAAAAAAAGTGTGAATCCATAATCTTCGCCAGAAAAAGTGATTTCATACCCTCGATAAAATTTTGAAATGTTAAATAGTAATATTTTAAGAAGCCATGATTTATAGAACTTATCTTAACTGTAAATGTAAACATTTTGAAGAGTTAGTCTATCCAAAAGAAAAAAAAAAAACCCAACAACAAGAGGTAATCCTCAATAGCCGCGGATGTAGTTAGATCTCAAATCGGTCAAGAGATGGAGCTATGAGCTAAAAGTTTGTACTTTAAAAAAAATCTCAGAGCCATTCTATGATCCGCTATGCCGCGCTAAAAATATTCATAAAAGGGTATGTTTGTTGGCATCACACAATTTTTCCCCTTAGAATGAATGGTAAGTTGTTGTACGTTGGATTAGAATTTTCTCTACTGTAAGCAATCCTGTATT